CTACTTTGTTTGCAGATGATTTATCGGTAATACCATCGGGAAATGTTGGCGAGGATAATGGAGATGTGCCAGTATCTCGTGCTGCACGTACTGTCACTTCATGCCATAATTCAAGAAAAAACTTGAAAAAAAGAATAGTTAATTTAATAATCATAATTTTGTTTGTACACATAAATTTAATAAAAGTTTGTTTGTATAATAGTTACATTCTTACCGCATCTTCACCCCATTCTTTAATTGTTCGGCTTACGTATCCAGCACTATTCAGCCACCTACATAACCTTTTCAAGCCTTCAATACTACTAGTAAACTTTCCTTCAGTGCTAGAAGTGTTAGGAACAGCCCTTACAAACGAATACCCCAAATTTTCAAATGCATCAACAGCAGAATCAATCCTATGTGCATACGATATTAATAATTCAGCTTGAATATCAACAAGAAATCGTATACGGTTATGAAACAAAGGCAACAATTTATAACGACCTAGAATAAAATTATATATATAAATATTGATATATATAAAGTTGACAGAAAAAATTATTATTGTAATAAATACTTGTAACTAATTCCAATAAATTCATCAATTTTTTTGCAGACTTTGTAGGCTTAAATTCATCTTCCGCCCCATCTTCATCCTCTATTTCCCATGCATCTTCAGAATGCATTATCTCATCATAACGAGCCTCAGCAACTAACATATAAATAATTAGTTACAAGGTTTTCATTTGAAAACATTTTAATATTATGTATAATATATATATGTATAATATATATATAAAACCTACAGCTTTTTTCAACTTTGAGCCATGCTTTAAACCATTCTTTTTTTCCTGTGAAAACATCAACACATCCCTTCCATTCTTTTTTCCCTGGTGGAACATACATATGTAATTCACGAAGAGTTTGATCAAGTTGTAATGTTTCAAACACTGTGTGTGAGAATACTTGTGGTGAATTTAGTAATGTGGGCATACTAAGAGTTAATTTGTTTGTAACTACAACAAGTAAAGAACATATAAACTCATTCTGAAAATAATAATAAAATTGTATTAGAAATATTAATATAAATAAAATAAAAAGCAAACTTATTTATTTAATTGAAAAAATTATTCAAGTACTTTAGCATGGTATTTTTGAAAATTTGCTTTATCCAAGATTGGTTGAACAACTTCTTGTAAAAATGGTGAATGTTCACGGATAGCAGTTAAAATGTATGTAAAGTACCATTCTGGCTACAACAAAAAAATATATTAAAAATAAATGGATAATTAAAAAAAATATTTAATTATTAATAAACTACTACTACTACTACTACTAGTACTACTATTATTATTATTATAGCAATATACCTTATCAATTCGATTTGTTGCTCTTCTGGAATTAAAATGAAAATTAAATTTCACTTTCAAAGGATCAACCATTATTTGAATTGGTATAAGAGGTGGAAGTCCTTCTGCCTTACTATTATTGTTACTGTTGCTGTTTTCTTTAGAAGAAGAAGAGCCTGGCTCTGAATACTTTGAATCAGTCATTGACTCAATTGGTTGTTGTAATATAAGTAAATCCGTAAAAGCATTGGTAAATGCTGATAAATTATCAGAGGTGATTGAATTATCAGATAATAAATTTATTGGAGTAGGCCAGTTAAGTGAATCAAGTGTTTGTTGAAATTTTCTAAATTAATATATGTAAAAACTTTTCATTTATATTGTGATAAAAGTGGAATTCTTTTTTAATAAAAATAATAAATAAATTAAAAACACACTTTGATAATCTACTCTTCATATCATCCCATAAAGCATCAACACTTTGTTGCAAAAAAGCATCTAAATTTTTTATTGAGTAACCCACTTGTTCATTTTTATATTTAATCTTATGTGCAAGTTGCATAAGTTGAGTGTAAGGTACAAGTGCTTTTTGTGGAGACTTTTCGACCAATTGTTTTGCTTGATTGCTATAAATGATCAAATTCAATTCGACTCTAAATTAGTACAGCTTTATATCTATCTATCTATCTCTATAGCATATATTTATATTTATACTAATATGTAAGTTACCTCAATTCATCAGCTATTACCAATATTTTCATGTATTTTTCGGATTTTCCTAATCCATAAACTTGACGTTGTAGTTTGATTAATTCATCCAACAAATCATCTTTTTTTTTTGAACCAAAATGTCCATTATCAAATATTTCGAATTGGGATGCCAGCCAATCACCCAATTCCAATCTTGTGGATTGAAGGTTTTCAAGTTCTGTTACTGTGGCATTAAACGAGGAAAGAGAGTATTTTAAAGTTTCTGATGTTTCACTATGTATTTGAGTAAACTTGGGAATGTCATTGATTTTTCTTTTTAGTAATATTGAATAAAATTGATTTCAATTAAACCATGGTTATTGTCATTATAATTTAATACATGTGGTGTATTTGGCATACCTTTTCATTCAAAACTTGATGTTCATCGTTTAAAACATCTAATATGGAATTAATGTTTTCCAAGTCTTCTAATTCTGTAAATCGTGAATTTAAAAAATCAACAATGTAATTTTCTGTTACGGTCTCATCAGGTTCTTTTACAAGTGATTTTAAATCATCAATTATAGAATCTTTTGGAAATTGAGTAGTCATTTTTTTATTCTCCAAAAATTATTATCATGCTCCCCATACTCGAATTTCATCCCATATCCTATTTATGATTAGACCCACCTAGTGTGAAATTTAAAGGGCTTGTGTCACGTTATACTTAATTCATGTGACTAAAAATTTGTGTGATTATCAATATTCCTGAAAAAGGTCTTCTTGGTCTGAAAAAATAAAAGAATATTTCAATTCAAACAATAAAGCTTATTGAAACATCAGACAATGAATTGAATAATAGTAATGAAATTGGAACACATTATCGAAAAAATATCAATAAAGATTAATCATTTTTCATAGAAATAGAGGTGGAATGTCAAATTTTTCAAAAAGTACAAATTCTGCATACTGAATTTTATATACACATACTACTGCTTTCAGGTTAGATAAAATCAAAAAAATTAAAACACCAATGAGCATAAAAAATAGGGTGTCCAGTGTTATGCTTTTTTCTCCAAATTATGCTTTTATGTGATCATAATTTTAGGGCAAATTTGAGAATAATTCTATGCTTTCCTGAAAGTGTGCTGTATTGCTTTTAGATGTGTTTACGAAGATATATCAAGCACGAAATCAGTATCCTTTGATTATTAAAACTTCATCTAATGGTATCAACTCATACAAATTACCTTCTTTAGTTTATGAAATAACCGATCGTCACCTTCCAAGAGGCTTTGTTACTTCTAGGAAACCATCTATAGACATTTTTTGCGATTATGTATATTGTGATTACACTAACTATACTGATTTGAATAATTGTAGTGTACTCACATGCGGACATGGTTATCACAATCATTGTCTACAAAGGTGCCAATCTAAATGTTTGATATGCTTGGACTATCTTCAAGTTGA